GGAAACTCCAGTGAAATGTCTGATTTGGAAAGTCGAATTACAATAAATTATTTTTAAAAAATTCCTCTTCTATTATCCGATACCTAACCTTTCTGATTTTAACTTTCTATCCTTCTCTGTTTATGTTGTAGTAAACACATTTCTCCAACTTTCTATGATGAAAACATAAAAGGATAAAATAGTGGTATATATTGGCTATGTATATGTGTTGGTAGGACTATCTGGAAATTGCAGATGTCATAAAACTCTGCCCTGAGTTCTTTGCTTAAAATGAATGACCTAAGAAGAATACATAAAGTCATTGTGTCAGAACTTTTAATGAGAGTTGTTACTAACTTTAATATTACATATCTTAATGAGTTGTAAAATCTTTAATGGGTAGTTACAAATACTGGTAGAGCTCTGTGGATGGAGGTTTTGTTCTGCCTGGTCCCATAGCCCTTTAGTACCAAATAAATACACACAGAGGCTTATATTAATTATAAACTGTTTGGCCAATGGCTTAGGCTTCTTACTGGCTAGCTCTCTCTTTATTATTAAACCATTTCTATTAGACTAAGTATTGCCACGAGGCTGTGGCTTACCCATAATCCGGCATGTTACTCCTTCGGCAGCATGGCATCTCCCTGGTGGCCTCTCTGCCTCTTCTTTCCAGAATTCTTCTCTTTTAGTAGCCCCACCTATACTTCCTGCCTGACTACTGGCCAATCAGTTTTTATGTATCAACCAATAAGAGAAACATATATATAGAAGGACATCCCCCCCCCATCAGAGCTCCTTCAAGCTCTGTTTTAAATTCCTGTTTACTCTGAGCCAGTGCCAAGATATTGCAGTAGATGTTGTTGTGTCAACATGACAAAAAAAAGTAATGGCTACTTTTCATTAGTCTTTGAAGTGTATTTATGTATTTGTTCGGGGGAGTACATGTGGAAGCCAGGGACCAACCTCAAGATTCATCCTCAGGAATCCCATCCAGCTCTTTAAGAAAAAAAATAGATTTATTTTGTGTGTATGAATGTTGTGTCTGCACGTGTCTCTGGTACCTGTGGAGATCAGAAGAGGGCATTGGATCTCCTGGAACAGTTATTAGCCATCATGTGGGTGCTGGGAATTGAACCTGGGTCTTCTGCAAAAGCAGCAAAGTGCTGTTATCATCTGAGTCATCTCTCCAGCACCCATCCATCTCCTTTTGTATGTATATGGTTTTGATTGGGGGGCTGTTGTTTTGCTTTTGTTGTTGTTGTTTTTGAGACAGGGTCTCAGTATGTAGCCTTGGCTATCCTGGAACTTGTTCTGTAGACCATACTGGCCTTGAACTCATAGAAGCTGGCTTGCCTCTGCCTCCAGAGTACTAGGATTAAAGGTATGTGCCGCCACACCCAGCTTTATCCACCTCGTTTTGAGGCAGGGTCTCTCACTGGCATAGAGCTCACTAATTAAGCTAGATTGGCCAACCAACAATCCCCAAGCATCTACTAGTGCTTACTTCCCCAGCCTGGAGTTACAGTTGTGTGACACCATGCCCAGAATTTTTACATGGGTTCTGTGGATTGAATACAGGTCCTCAGACTTTCAAGACAGGCCTTTACTAAGTTTTTATTGATCTTTGTTATGAAAAATGTAAAGTAACTTTTTAAGAGAGTGCTCATGTTGTCAATTGTATTAACTTTTTAAGTACAGAAAAATGTAAAGTAACTTTTTAAGAGAGTGCTCATGTTGTCAATTGTATAGGTTAAACACATTAGTGATTAATAATGTCACCCTAAGGAAAGAAACCAAAGCATTTGCCCTTGGTGTCACTTAATCAAGAGTGAGCCCAAGGGGCCTGGAGAGATGGATCCACGGTTCTTGCAGAGGACCCAAGTTTGATTGCCAGCACCCTCACAGTGGCTAACATCTTCCTGTAACTCCTATTCAGGGGATCTGATGCCCTCTTGTGCCCTCCACAGTCATCAGCACACATGTGGCAAACACAAGGCAAAACATTCATATAATAAAAGTATTTTTTAGAAAAGAGTGTGTATGTGTGTCTGCCGCTGAAAGGGCTATGCTCTCTTCCATTGAACAGTACCAAAAGTATAGCATGCAGAAGAAATAAGGGCTACTTTATAGAAATGTTTCTTTAAAGGAATTTTACAAGGATTGAGTCATTGACTCCCATTCACCCAGATGACAAAACAGTATTATAAGCATCATTGTAATCAAGTAGTAACCAAATGTTGTGTTTAACATTTACGGTGGATGTTCATCTCTACATTTGCTGCTCTCAGCTAATGATATACATGCATTACTCTAGGTCAGCTGCATGAAAGAATTAAGAGTTTAAGATTACAGTGATACATTAGCTTAGGTTGCAAAGCTGAGTACTGGGAAGCCCAAGGCTAGTAAGTTGGGTGTTACAATGTTCTCCAAAAGGCAGGTTAAACAAACAGGGTAGGTACACAGCAGGCTCTCAGTCTCGAGTCTTAAGTGACTTGAGGTGTATTATTAATCTGGGTGTGAGGTCCAGCAAAAGTTCCAGTCTTGTAGAATGTAAGGGGTTTTCATAATACTGCATTGCTAGTCAATGTACTATGAATTTTTTGTGCTCACCAGTGAATCAATCTAGAAACCAATGAATACCATTCATTGTTACAGTGAAAAAAAATGTCATCTCAATTTACCCCCTCATATTCCACAAGAAGGTCTGATAGGGTCGTTGTAGAACTGGATTTGATGAAACACCCTGCATAGCTCTACTTTTCACAGTGAAGACTGTGAGATGTGAAACTCTTGTTTTGTGAAGTCAAAGACAAAGAACTTGTTATCTGGTACACACAGTGTGTACATCTTAGGATGAACTGGCAGCAGGAGGGCGGCAGCGGCAAGCTGTAGGCCTGGCAGTTCCTCTCCCATTTGTGGCTTTTGGGTATTCTAGTTCTTGAACAAACTGCCAAGGTGGGAAATGTTTCAGGGCAGAGTGTGGCCATCTCATGATAGTTTTTTCTCTCCGGTCTGGTGGTGTTAGATTAATTTGCCACCCAAATTTATTTAGTTACCAGTCTACTATTAACGTGCATAATCATCAGACTAGTGTTCTCTGGCTCTTTTCTGGGAAAGAACCCTGCTCTGTATGGTAGTGTAGTCTCAGTATTAACTACTTACTTCGTGCTAGCACAATTACATAGAGAGAGAGAGAGAGAGAGAGAGAGAGAGAGAGAGAGAGAGAGAGAGTGTGTGTGTGTGTGTGTGTGCGATTGCCTTTACAATCAGAAAGAAGAGTAGAATTTCTGTTAACATTATAGCCATACCCTTTTTGTTTTGTTTTGTTTTGTTTTATTCATTTTATGTACACTAGTGTCTTTACTAGATGCATGTCTTTGTGAGGGTGTCAGGTCCCCTGTCACTGGAGTTACAGACAGTTGTGAGCTGCCATGTGGGTGCTGAGAATTGAACCTGGGTCTTCTGAAAGAACAGCCAGTCTCCAGCCCCATGTTTTTGTCAGGGTTTCTCTGGACTGTCCTAGGACTTGCTCTATAGACCAGGCTGGACTTGAACTCAGAGATCCACCTGCCTCTGCCTCCAGAGTGCTGGGATTAAAGGTGTGCGCTACCATATGAGCCAAAGGCCTTCATATTAAGAAGGAGAAATCTCAGATTGATGGAATGGCTCAGAGAGTGAAGGTGCCTGCTACACACCTGACAACCTGAGTTCTACCTGGGACTCACATGGTGACAGAAGAGAGTGAACTCCTGCACTTTGATCCTGACAGCCAATATACACATATAAGTAAATAAGTATGCAATAAAGATATAACTAACTAAATAAATAAATCTGTAATCCCAGCACTTGGTTTGCTAAAGCAGAAGACTGACAAGTTCAAGGTCAGCCTAAATGACACCTACGCTTTGTCTTACAAAAACAAGAGCTGAGAGTATAGCTCCAATAGTAGAATGTTAGCCTCACTCACGCACAAGGCCCTATGTTCCACATCCAGCTCTGCAAGAAGAGAATCAGAAGTAGAGCACTTGTACCACTTATATGAGGCCCTGGGTCTGGTCCCCTACACGAGGAAGGAAAACTCTGTAAGAAACTCTTCATCCCATCTTTTCTGGTTATTGCTGATTTTATATCATAAATCAGCTTGTACTATTCTGTGTACTAAGGACTATAGCGCCATTGAATCACAACGGCACAATGGTCACATGTTGGATACATAGAGCCAAATCTTAGGCAACTTTCTGTGGCCCTTCCAGAGAGAGATGTTGCCTGTAAAATTAGAAGCAGAACTTTGAAATTATATAAACCAAGCTCAGTGCACACCTTAATCCCAGAACTCGAGAGGCAGAAGCAGATGGATCTCTGTGAGTTCAAGGCTGGCCTGAGCTACTTAGAGCTCCAGGACATCGAGGGATACACAGTAATACCATATTTTTTATTAAAAGATAAACTAAAATATAAAAATTGTGGAAATAAATAATTTCCATAAGTACTTAAATTTGCATAACTAAGAAATATTTTTGTGGCTTGTACTGCCATCTGCTGGTTCTTACTTCCTGGATTTCTTTTTTTTTTTTGTTTTCCTTTTTTTCTTATTGTGTTTCTTTTTTTATTTTCTTTCTGGGTTTTTTTTTTTTTTTGGTTTTTCGAGACAGGGTTTTTCTGTGTAGCTTTGGAGCCTATCCTGGCACTTGCTCTGGAGACCAGGCTGGCCTCAATCTCACAGAGATCCTCCTGCCTCTGCCTCCTGAGTGTTGGGATAACTTCCTGGATTTCTAATAGCTTGCCTGCTGTGTTACATGGAACAATAGGGAGGAGTGGAATCCATTTATTTCCTTTACAGTCTTTAAATATTCTTTGTTGTGAATACAATACTAGACTTTCATGTAGTCCATACATTGTTTCTTAGCCGTATGCTTTTAGTGATCACATTTGCTAGTCTTTCTCCATTATTAATTATCCTATTTTAGTATTTGAGTTTCTCATCTAAACTTTTTTTTCTTTGTCATTTTCTTTCCTAGTTTAATGGATCGAGAAGTGGCATTGCTTGCTGAAATGGACAAAGTGAAAGCTGAAGCAAGTAAGATGATTGATATTTAACTAAAGCTATTATTGAGCTGGGGTGTTGTGGCACACACCTTTAATCCTAGCACTTGGAAGGCAGAGGCAGGCCAGTCTTTTTGGGGCCAACCTGTTTTACATAGTGACTTGAAAAAACTATTACCAATACGAACAATAGGTTGCTGCCTCTCAGTCAAAGTTTAGTATGAACATCTGCAGTGATATTTTATGTATTAAATATTATCAGTAAAAAAAAAGTTTATAAATTTAATTTGTCTTGAGCAATTGTACTTTGCTCACATAGTTACTCTCTGTAAGAGTCTTTTACATTTTTTCCCAAATTTTTAGCATTCTCAATGTAGGATTTAATCTACAAAACATTGTATAATGAATGGTGTTGCTGCCATAGCATCAACCTTAGGAAAATAAACACCTTGCAGGTTCCCGGGCTTTCTTTTGTTTTGCTTTTCTTTCTAGTGATTAAAGCTTCCACTGGGTTTTGTTTTGTGTTTTTTGATAAAGCTAAAACATTGGGATAATCAGAGGATACTTCACCACGGCTCCTACAATTGTTCTTGTCATTTTCTGTCATGGAATTTTATTTTTCTGTTTTAGGATGATCTTTACTCAGTGTCTGTAATCAAGGAATAGGGGAAGGGCAGTGAGCTGAGAATTCAAGATGCCATGATTGCTTATTACAGTAGAATGGAGGAATGAAGTCTAACTGGGGCAATCTGTATGGCTTTAACATGCACTGAGTCCGACCCCTAAATCCCATGGTGGAAGAAAAGAACCAATCCCTTAAAGCTTTTTCCTCATGACCTCCACACCTGTGTGGCACACCTGCACCCAAAACCACAACCAGGCTTCTGCTCTTCTGTTAAAGCCAGAAGTGGGCATCAGATCACTTGGGTCTGGAGTTTATAGGTGGTTCTTAGCTATTGTGTGGGTGCTGGGATTGAGCCCAGGTCCCCCACAAGCGCAGCCAGTGTTTTTAATTGCTGACCTATTGCTCCACTCCCTAAAACGTGTATTTTTAAAAGGGACCTTCTCCTCAAAAGTAATGACCATGTCTTTTCACCAGCTTTAGTTCCTCTACACCTTTATCTTGTAAAAGAATCAAAGGATAGGCAATAGCTGTGAAATTTAGAGATTTCAAGATACACTGTTTATTGCATATGCAATCTTATTTCTGAGACATATGAGACATTCTCAACATTTTCCTTACCATGGACCAAACTAAACTCTGCTCAGTACTTTCAGGGCGTCTCTTCCCATGGTTGTGGTCACAGGTCACCTAATGTAGAATCCCTACTCTTACTAGTTTGAGGGTAGGCTAAAAGAAACAACCTTTCTAAATAGGCATGGCACTCAATGTGTGAAGATAAACCCACCAATGGACCAGCAAAATGGCTCAGAGGGGTAAAGCCCCCACCAGCAAACCCGACAGCCTGTGTCCAACCCCTAAATCCCATGGTGAAAGGAAAAAAACAATCCCTTAGAGCTTCTTCTTCACGACCTCCACACCTGTGCTGCACACCTGCCCGGAGTCCAACTGTTAGGAATCAAGCATAATTGGATCTTTCTGCGTTCAAGGCCAGCTTGGTCTACAGAGTTCCAGGACAGCCAGGACTACACAGAGAACCCTGCTGGGGTGGTGGGGGGAGAAAAAGAAAAGAAGTGGTTAGTAACTGAGGAATGACACCCAGGGTTACCCTCTGGCCTCCAAATGCATGTGCACTGCACCATGCTTTCTTAGGTTCTCAGGGTTTACCTCAGATCTTCGTGCTCCCAAGGCAAGCACTAAATTGGCTGAGCTGTCTCATAGCCCTGGGGTAAAGTTCTGTGTGATGTCAGTCAGGTATGGATGACTGCATACAATAGAGTGACCTAAGTAAATGTATTTACTATGCTCCTGTGAAGTAAGAAGTCCAGAGATTTTAATTAGTCATAGTTAGCAGGGTATCGCCAACATGACACTGGGGACCCAGGCTCCTCTGTCCTTCACGTAGCCATCCTTACAGTGTACTCTGCTCAAAAGATCACTGATAAGGTTTCGGTCAGGGGAGGGGTGACATGACATGATTCCTTGCATTACAATGCTTTCAATTAGAGCCTCCTGGATGCCCCATCCTGGGAACTCTATCTATGGCTGAATGCTGGACTGTATAGCACACAGCCAGCTCACCTGGAACAAGGCCAGAATTGTTTTGTTTTAATTTTTTTTTTATTCATTTTTTACATTCCAATCCCAGTTCCCCCTCCCTCTTCTCCTCCTGGTCCCCCACCCCCACTCCAGAATTGGTTTTTAAGTAAGAACATTGGTACTCAACATTTTATTTTGGTTTAGTTTAATATGGTTTGATTTCTCTTTTTTTGTTTTTTGTTTTGGTTTTTTCGAGACAGGATTTCTCTGTGGCTTTGGAGGCTGCCCTGGAACTAGCTCTGTGAGCCATGTCTGTCTCCCACCTCACAGACACCCCCCTGCCTCTGCCTCCCGAGTGCTGGAATTAAAGGCGTGCACCACCAACGCCCGGCTTTGTTTTGTTTTGTTTTTTTTTTTTTGTTATGGTTTGATTTCTTAAGACGGTCTTGCTGTGTAGCTGAGGCCAACCTGGAACTCAAAATGTGGTCCAGACTAGCCTTGGAATCATAACTCATTCTCAGTTGCCCAAATGTTCAGATTATAGGCATGAGTCGTCAGACCTGGCTAAACATTAGACTTCTGAGAAGAAGAAAAGGAGAAGGGGTGAGAATGTTCATTTGACTAACAGACTTTGCCACAGTTCTCTACTTCAGCTGCCCAGTGGCCCTCTTTATTTTAAAATGAATACATCCGTCTGGGGCTGGAGAGATGACTCAGCAGTTAAGAGCAGTGGCTGCTCTTGCAGAGGTCCTGGCTTCAATTCCCAGCACCAACATGTTGCTCACAACTGTCTCTAACTCCAGTTCCAAGGAATCCAGAGCCCTCTTCCGGCCTCTGAGAACACATAGTACACAGACACATGCAGGCAAAACACCTATGTGTTTATGTATGTAAAGTAAAAAGCTAAAGATTATTATTAAATAAATGTAATTATAAATACATCTCCAGTTTTTTTTTTTTTTTTCCTCAGTGGCAATGACCCTGAAGTCTGATGGGTAGTCCCTTTATCTGAAAGACCATGTCCTCTGAATAATTAAAGCTCTCATCAGGCCCTGATATGGCATATTATGGCTTTGGTCCATAAACTCAAAGAAGAGAAAATATCCCTTCCTCTATGTTACATTGATAGAAAAGAAGATCATAATTACAGTAAAAATTCTCACTTAGAAAAACAATGGTTGAGGCTGGAGAGAGAGCTCAGTGGTTAAGAGCACTCCTTGCTCTTCCAGAGGACCATGGTTCAATTCCCAGCACCCACATGGCAGCTTACAACTGTAACCCCAGGTCCAGGGAGCCTGACTTGCTCACACATACATGCAGGTAAAACACCAATGCATATAAAGATAAATAAATTTTTTTTAAAAACCTATGATCGGGCTGGAGAGATGGTTCAGAGGTTAAGAGCACTGACTGCTCTTCCTAAGTTCAATTCCCAGCAAACAATGAGGTGGCTCACAGTCATCCATAATGAGATCTGGTGCCCTCTTCTGGTATGCAGGCATACATGCAGGCAGAATGTTGTATACATAATAAATAAATATTTTTTAAAAGAATATAAGGACTTAACTATTGATCAATAGTAGGTGTGCTAAATAATTGGGGTATGTCTGTAGAGTAGATGACTGAGTAAGACATAAACAGCAGGATAGCAGTGGCTAAGATGAAGAGAAGATTGTGTATTTTATAGACTCCACTGAGGGAGGGAGAGGTCTGTGCTGTACATACATAGACAGCATTTGGAATACACATAAGAAACTGTTAGTGGCTCTCTGAGTAGAGAAAAACAAAATCAGAAGGATGAGTGGTTTCACTTCATTCTGTACCTGTTTAGATAAAGTTTGTGTCTTAATTTATATGCTTCTTAAGAAAAAAAAATGGGGTAGGAAGAAGAGAGAGAAATGACAAGTGATTTGTAAGTCTTTGTTTTTCATAAACACTTATCTTCTAACTGTCTGCAGAGACCCCTGAGGTGGAAACTAGGCCTCTGGTATTTTCATTTGCTGGGTGAGTGGGCAGCTAGGCTTTTGGCTGTCTCGATGCACATTCAAGGCATCTTCTTTCACTCTGTGTCTCACTTTAACCACAGCCTAAGTGTTGTGCTCCTCTTTCTTCCCCAGTGGAAATTCTGCTCAGCCGGCAGAAGAAAGCAGAAGTTCTGAAGAAGATGACGGACGTGGCTGTACGCATGTCGGAGGAGCAGTTGATTGAACTCAGGGCTGACATCAAGGTAAAACTTGCTTCTCCTTTCTGTCTTTCGCTGACTCTCAGGGCCAGCCCAGTAGATCTCCAGAAGTCATAGCTGCCCAGAGCACACTAGACCATGAGCCTTCCTTCCAAAGTGTGGCCCTTTCCAGACTGTCTTTTTCTGTCATCTCTCCAGCTATCTAGGTAGGAAATCTTAGGACACTTTTCTGTTCCTCAAATTAAATCTCTCAGGGGACTCACCTGCTGAATCTCAGATTGACCTTGTTTTTTGTGTCAATTTCTACTGTCATCTGTTGCTTAGCCTTTTGAGTCTTTCTGTTCTCCTCTTGTCCTGTTCTTCCCACCCCCATGTCTGAGTCTCACACTTCAGTAGCCTGATTCAGATCTTCTCCAACATTTAGGGTAAATACTATAATCCTTAGCACTGACTGCTTTCCCAATCTGGGTTCAATTCCCAGCACTCAAATGGTATATCACAACTGTCTGTAACTCCAGTTACAGGGGCTCCAGTGCTCTCTTCTGGCCTCCATGGGCAACAGGCACATGCAATACACATGCATATATGTGAGCAAATATCCATTGCACATAAAGTAAAAATAATTTTTTTAATTGTGTTTCTCAGACTTTTTGACCCCCAAAGAGAAATTGGATAATTTGCAGGTACGCATGGACAGTGTTTTCTAAATCATTGTTTATAAACAGAAAGCTTTTTGAGCAAAGGAGTAGGGGATGACATTTTCTGTTCCTAAGCTTTTACCTCTGCTCTGTGAACACAAGAACTTTATTGACATATATGAGAGGGATGCCTCCTGTGGAGGCTTACAACAGAACAGCCTGGAGAAAGCACAGACAGATAGGTGTAAGGTAATCTAGGGCCTTCCGGGCATCGTTTGAGCCAGTGCTGATACAAACCTGTTGAGTATCCCTTGCCCCTCACTCCTTTCCCTGAAAGTTGATTGGGGTAAAAATGTGAGTTTAAAAATTACTTTTTTTTTTTTTGGAGACAGGGTTTCTCTGTAGCTTTGGAGGTTGTCCTGGAACTCTCTTTGTAGACCGTGCTGGCCACAAACTCACAGAGATCTGCCTGCCTCTGCCTCCTGAGTGCTGGGATTAAAGGCATTTGCCACCAACGCCCAGCAAAATTACTATTTCTTATTAACTAATAGCACATTACAGAATTTTGTAGAACATTTCCCTCACATTAATGCCACTCAGTCCCATTCAGCTGTCTGGGAGAAACCAGAAATCCCTTTGTAATTAGATGAGAATTCTGGCTCCCATAGGTTTCATCTGTTCCTCTTCCTACAAGGCTAAACGAACGGTTTCTAGAAATATTTCTGCAGGCTGACTAAGGATTTGTTTCTTTCCACGTTTTTAATGTGCTGAAGTGAGTGCTGTGCAATTTAAATGTCTTATTTCCAGATCATTGTACCTCTGTCATTCCTATTATGTCTTTGGCTCAACAAACCCTAGAATTTGTTTCAGAATTAATATTAGACAGATCCTCTATATCCAAAAGTGCCATTACAGGAGGTCTGTATGCTTTCCTAAGATGGAGTGTACTCAGAACTTTTAGGATGTCAAGTCTCAAGGGTAATTTTTCTCTCTTTTCCTATTGGTATTTCTGGATGCATTCCAAGAATTCTGATGCATTTGAAGTGGGAGTAGACTACCCCCAGTTAGGAGATCTACTCTGAGGAGGAGTTCAGTTGCAAATCTTCTCTGAGCTTTTAACCTTTCTTTTTCATCTACTCATCTGGTGTGTGTGGGGGTGATCCTGGCCACCTAGACATTGTTTATTTAATGGATCCCCAGAAGTGCTTCATTCCTGACATGTTTCTCATCCAACAGTTTCCATAGTATAGTCAGCTTTTGACCCAGGGGGCTGGTTACTTCTTAGCTCAGTCTGCTTTTAAAAGGATTAAATCACTTGCAGCACAAACGTCTTATTTGCAGAGTTGCCGTTCCACATGGATGATTTTCCATCTCAAAAAATTGCTCCTATTTCAAAGACTCTGAAATCCTGTTTTATAAGGAGACGAAGCTCCTTTCCTAAGGCGGATCCTACCAAAGGACAGCAAACCTGGATGGGATTACTGTTGTAGCTTATGATTACTTTGGCTGCCTCTGCTTCTATGCAAAATGAAACTGTGTGGAGACTAGCCCAGGGAGAAGATGATTCTTTGCTATAAATTCTTCTTTTTCCTTTCTTATCATTCATTTGGGTTATACCATTGGGTGTTGGCCATTTATAGCATTTCATTAAATTAGCAGGCTTAATCTTTGGGCTCTTGAAAAATGAGTAGCTTTATCTGATTACTTGGCATTGGTAATGTCATTAAGCAAACTTTAAAGCAATAAAAATGAAAAAATTGAAGATAATTCTCTTCACTTGTGTGTGTTTTAGGTTCTGTGTACACTGTCTCTTACCCGGAAGCTTTTCTGTCTTTTCTCCAGCACTTTGTTAGTGAGCGGAAATATGATGAAGATCTGGGAAGGGTAGCCCGGTTCACCTGTGATGTGGAGACCCTGAAACAGAGTATTGATTCATTTGGACAAGGTGAGAGATTCTGAACACTACAGTGCTAAGGAGACTACTCTGTGGTGGTGGTTAGGTGTGCTGACTGGTGTTCCGATAGGTACTTCTCAGTGCCTCTTGTCTCGTTTATGTGAAAGTCACTGGGATACTTATTGGATCTGGGGCTGCAGGTGCTTTGGCAGTCCTGAAGTATGAAATACTTTTTGTTCTTTTGGAGCCCAGACTGACTACGAACTTGCTGAATCTCCAAGGCTGGCCTTAAACTCCCAGTTCTCCTGCCTTTAACTGCGGGGGTGAGGTGGGAATACAGACCTGTCCCCAGCACCCAGTACCCAGCAGAATACTCACATTGTTTTCTGCTGAGATGAGGTGTTGTGTGATAGTATGACGAGCTGTGGTCTCGGGTCAGGCCAAGTTGAGTCCCTGCTTCAGCATTGAAATCCTGGACAACATTTTACTCCTCTTCAAACAGAGATGATCATGCCTACCTTGCTGGGCACATGACAGGCCCTCAAGTAATAGCATTAGAAGTGGGAAAGAGCTGGGGCTAGAAAGATAGGGGTTGAAAGGACTGCTGCTCTCCAGAGGACCAGAGTTTAGTTCCCAGAATCCTCATTGGATGCCTCATAACCCTAGCCCCAGTGATCCCTCTTCTAGCCTCTGTGGGCACTTGCACACACACAGAAATACATATGCATAAACATGAATAAAAATAAATCTCTCTGGGCCTGGAGAGATGCTCATTGGTTAAGATCACTTGTTGCTCTTATAAAGGACCTGGGTTTGGTATCTGGGACCCACAGAGTAGTTCACAACCATCCTTAATTCCTGTTCCAAGGAGTCAGTGTTTTCTTCTGACCTGCATGGACACCAGGCATCCATATGGTGACATATATACATTCAAGGTAAACACTACACACACAAAATAAAAACATTTCTTAAGTGGGCAGGGTCCAGGGCCTCAAAGTGGGAGTTTGTAGGCATACATTAATAATAGATCAGGCTCTGAACTTATTCCACTCTTCCTCTCAGTATGAAATCAGTGTTGAGACTGGGGTTGCGGGGCAGGGAGCTCTTGCCTAACCTGTACCAGGGACCTTGGGTTTGCTCCCCAGCAATACAAAACAAAACAGTGAAATATTGGTCAGAGCAGTAACTGTTACCCATTGTAGCCCAGCCTTAGAGCCAAGAAGACATCCGGGGAGTGCTTCAAACTACGGTATCTGAGAACATTTGAATTGAAAATAATATTTTTCAGTTATATTGGTATATTGAATTTGGGATTATTTTGCAGAAAGAAATTTGGCGAGATAAGTGTTGTAAAGACAAGTTCTGTCTATATTTAATTAATCTTGATTATCTTTCCCTTACATCATTCGATTTTTTTAAAAAAAGGCTTTAGCAGAGATTTGATTGTTTACCTCTTTCTTTTTTTGTAAAATCTGTCCTGCAGGACATTTCATTTCTTTTTTTTTTTTTTTTTTTTTTTTTTTTTTTTTTTTTTGAGACAGGGTTTATCTGTATTGTTTTGTATGCTGTCCTAGAACTCGCTCCGTCTATAGACCAGGCTGGCCTCGAACTCACAGAAATTCCCCCTACCTCTGCCTCCCGAGTGCTGGGATTAAAGGCATGTGCCACCAACGCCCAGCCTGCAGGACATTTCTTGCATGGGAAAGGAAACATATGGCCTGGCCTGTCATTCCCAGGTTTTAGTTTGCTGGAACCACAGCCAGGAGTTTAGGTGGAGGAAATGGTGAGAGCCATCAGTAGGGGGTGGGTATGGTTTGGTCTGAAACTCTAAATTCTTCACAGAGCAGTGGGTTTGGGAGACAGAGACTTCCTTTCCCTCTTGTTAGCCACTTTATAGGTTTTGCTTATGACTGGTAGCTACCAGTCACTTGGACCGTTTTAAAATGTATTTATTATTAGTGGGGAGATGGCATGCCACAAAGTACATGTGAGAGTCAGGAGAAGTCTGAAGTAGTCTCTCTTTCCACCTCTACAAGTGTTCTGGGTATCAAACTGTTGCTTACCCAGAGCCAGCTCTCCAGCCCTCCAATAGTTCTATTCCTTAAATTGCATCATATGACCACAGCACAGTCCTCATGTTTCTGTTTCAGTGTCACATCCAAAGAACAGCTATTCAACCAGATCTCGATGCAGCTCCGTGGTATCTGTGTCCTTGAGCGGCCCTGGTGATGTGTCTGCTGCTTCCTCTTCCCCCTGTGCCTCTGCTCCCAGCCTTCCAGGTGCTAACAAGAGAAACTGTGCCCCAGGAGAGACTTCAGCAGCCATGACAAACTCCAGTGACAAGCCCTGCCAGGCTCATCAGGAGGTAATGTGCTTTCATACAGAGCATGTGAGGAGAAAAGGACACCCACTTGTTGCATTTCCGTGCTGATCACTCATTGGATAGTCTCCGTTAGTTCCCGAGAAAGCATTTGAGATGGTATTCCAAACCACCAGCCAGTTGAGACTTCCTGTTGCCCCAGACAGCTGACTTTCATTTCTTGGCAGTTTGTTGTAGGTTGTATTGTCTGGTAATTAGTCACACTGGGAGTTGTGCACCTATCTCAAGGTAGACAAGCAGTTCAAGTGTCAAGTTCACCACCATGTGTCTGAAAGCTACAAGAATCAAGAAGCCCAGTATGAGTAGATCAGGGGAGGAAAAAGTGAGCCTGGTAGGGGTGGAAGCAGAGTACTCCATAATCTTGTTTCCTTGGTTTGAAGGAGAAAGTAATTCTTGAGAACTGATAGAACATTGGAATTAGGAGATAAAAAGCCAATCCTGTAAGCTTCCTGGGTTGTGACATGAAAGGTGTGCTAAGTGTCACACCAACATGCTGTGAGCTGCACCTTGTAATCCATAGCCAAGCAAATTGGCATCTATATACTTTTTGGTTAGGGTTTTCTCTGGCAATAGAATTAATCCAAAACTTGTCACTTTAGCCTCAGGCTGTTCTTCAGACAAGGGCAAAAAGCAGCCACATTCTTCACCAAAATATCCTAAGAATGCTCTCTAGGTATCATACTAAAATTCTTCCCCTCTGAAACTTCTTGAGCTAGGCCCAGAAGTTCATCAACTCACACTCAGTACCACTGTCTTCCATGCTCCTACTCGGATGGCCCACTAAGCAGCACTTAAAGCATTTGACTGCTTTTCTAATCCATAGTCCCAAGGTCCATATTCCTTCAAACAACAGCACAGTCAGGCCTATTGCAACAACACCCCAAGTCCCTGATACCAACTTCTGTCTTAGGGTTTCTGTTGCTCTGAAGAGACATCATGACCAGGGCAACTCTTAGAAAGGAAAACATTTAACTGGGGTGGCAGTTTACATTGCAGAGGTTGAGTCCATTATCATCATCATACGAAATGTGCTGTGCAAGCAGACGTGGAGAAGCTCCTTACTGGAGAAGGAGCCGAGAGTCTTGCATCTTGTCCCAAAGGCAACAGGAGGCCACTGGGCATTGCTCGAGCATATATAAGACCTCAGAACCTCCTCCACAGTGACACACCTCCTAATAGTGCCACTCCCTATAAGCTTATGGGGACAATTAGGTTCAAACTCCCACACATGTGCTCATGTCTTTACAGTTGGCTTAGGATCTACTTGTTCAGACATTTATCTGACTCAGAGCTTGTGACTCTACTGTGTTCATTTCCTTCCCATGCACATCTAAAGAGACAGGACTCCTCAGTAGGGAAGACCTAAGCATGAGAGGCAGCGAGATTCGTGGGAGGTATATTAATTATGACAAAGTGAACGGGTTGGATAGGCTGGTGGGATTGAATCCCAAGCATGATGCTTATGCTTTCAAAACACATGATAAAGTGGAACAAACCAGGCATCATCATGACAGAGCACCGTGAGCATTGTACTTTTTTTATCTGTAGGTGTTTCCAGGCAACAGGCGAGGAGGACAAGGCTACAGGCCACAAAACCAAAAGACCACTGACCCCACAAACCAAGGGCGGCATGACAGTGCGGGTCGTTACAGAAACAGCTCGTGGTATTCATCTGGGTCCAGGTATCAGAGTACTTCACCTCAGGCCCCAGGAAACGCTAGTGAATGGAGCCAGGCTTACTCTGCAGGGACCAATGGAACTGGAGCCAGCATGGCACCTAGCCCACCCAAGCCTTCATTCAAAAAGGGGCTCCCACAGCGCAAACCGAGGACCTCTCAGGCCGCAGCTGTGAACTCTTGAGGGAAATTTCCAGTCGGCCTCTCTTCTATCCCATTCAGTTCAACCTAGTAACTGGACTTTAGGAAATGTATACTTAGATATAATAACAAAAAGAAATTTATGCATATCACTTTGGGCCATCCTAAATATTTTTTGGTTTCTTCTCTCATTATTTTCTGAGGGAAAGCTGTTTTTCCTTGACCTTTCCTAGTGATATGGACTGACTCGGTTGGTCATTTTCACTAGGAACCAGGGCAACTATTGTCGATTTTCTCAAGGGTAAGCAGCCTTTCTCTCAGTGCACCTGTCTTCCAACTGCCCGAAGAGGCCTTACTCAGCAAGCCCCACCACAGAGGCTGTCTCAGGAGGAAGAATGCCAGCGCTAGTCCACCACCTTGCCATTGAAAGCAGATGCTACTCAATGTCAATTCCACCAGGGGCAGCAATGAGGGGACTTTATACAATACTGAATCAGCCAGGAAAGGGAAATAAACGTTATTTGTGAAGAGGGGAGAACACTAGGAAACACTTGAGAACCTGCCTCTATTTGGAATGTGCCTGAGATTTGACACTTGATCAAATTAGGGTTTCAGTCCCATGCTTGGCACTGTACCTTAACCTGCGATTTCTTCAAAATGCCCAAAGCCTTGTTTCCTCTTACCTCAGGCTGCAACCCAGTCCAAGGAAGTCTGTGGGAAAGTAGCGTTTTAAGTTTTTAAAAGAAAAAGAAATGTTTTTTCTTTGTTTCAGTGTTTGGAGATTTTTGTTGTTCTCCCCCTTGCCTGAATCCAGTTAGGAACCAATCTGTAGTAATGTAATTAGTGTTAATCTGAGGGTTACTCAGCACAATCGTTGCGGTCATCTTTATAGGTGAATAAATAAAAGCAACTGCATCAATGTTCCTGTGTTTCACAGCAGCAAGTGGCTTCATTATCTCTCTCTCTCTGGGCCTCTCGGGTAGAAGTCCCTCGGACAACGTGTTCTGTGCTTAAATGACTGGATCTGATTCCCAAGTCATTTGTCTGTTGTTACCTAGTTCTAGAACCACATTAAAATGTGAAAGCCAGGATGAGCAAATAGAGCTGTTCCTTGTAGGAAAGGCTCCCTGGCTAAGGGATGGTGACTTTCAGAGGAGACCATAATTGCCACCTGCTCCCCCGGGCATCTGGAGAGTGTGTTGGTGTCCCCCGCCGCAGCTCCCCATCCCTCAACATACCCACCCACTCACCCCAGTGTTGATGGTAATAGCACTGTCTTTCCTCCAGCATGTTTTCTCCCAAGCCCAGAATCCTGCTGCCTCAGGGCCTCCCTGGCTCTCAGTGGAGCTGAGCTGCCAGAGTTCAGTACGGGCTGGAGAGGGAGAGGAAGAGGGGAGGGAGTTACTGAGAATGAGATTGATTTACAGTTAAGAAAATAGCAGTCACAGGCACCATGGAAGTTGTTTTCCAAGGGACTGACCACCATGCGCCCCGGTCTCAGGAGGAAGCCCTCCTTTCTTGGTAATTGCTTTATACTTTATAGGAATCCAGAGACTAAAATGACCCCTAAGGTCTAAGAGAACATTGCTGCCCAATTTTGTTTTCTTTTTCATAAAAAGAGATCATATTGTCTATTTGGGCCTCTACTTTTTAACCACATTCAAATTTTACCTTTTGGGTTTTTTTTTGTTTGTTTATTTTTTAAAGATTTATTTATTACGTATACAGTGTTCTGCCTGTATGTATTCCTGTTGCCTGAAGAGGGCACCAAATCTCATTACAGATGGTTGTGAGCCACCATGTGGTTGCTGGGAATTGAACTCAGAACCTCTGGAAGAGCAGCGAGTGCTCTTAACCTCTGAGTCATCTCTCCAGCCATGTCCCCCTTGTAGGTTTTTTTTTTTTTCCACTTAGGGGTTAAATCCAAGGCCTCACATGTAGGCAAGTGTCTACCACTGAAATATGTACCTTCAGCTTCCTTTGAAATTTTTATTTTGTGACAGAGTCTCCTAAGTTGCCCTAGCAGACCTTGTGCTTGTAATATGCTTGCCTTGGAGCAAGCTGAGACTATAGATATGTGGCACTTGCCTAGTAATAATTTTAGCTTTTCGCCGGGCGTTGGTGGCACACGCCTTTAATCCCAGCACTCGGGAGGCAGAGGCAGGCGGATCTCTGTGAGTTCGAGGCCAGCCTGGTCTCCAGAGCGAGTGCCTGGATAGGCTCCAAAGCTACACAGAGAAACCCGGAAAAAAAAATTAGCTTTTGAAAAAAATATGGGGCTCCAGAGAAATTGCTCAGTGGTAAGGTGATTGCTCTGCAAGCATGTGGACATGAGTTCAGTTCCCTAGCCAGATACTACAACGAATGCCGGGAATCCCAGAATTGGGAGGTAATGACAGATGGATCCCAGGGATTCCAGCCAGTCAGCAGGCCAAGTTCAGTGAGAGACCCTATCACAAAAAAAAAAAAAAAAAAAAAAAAAAGTGGGAGGGCTGGAGAGAGACTGTAGTGTGGTTAAGACCACTTGCTGTTGTTCAGAGGATCTGGGTTTGATTTCCAGCACCCATGTTGGGTGGTTCACAACCACCTGCAACTTCAGCTCCAGAGATGCCAGCATCCTCTTCTGGCTCCACAAGCACTAGCACACACAGATACAGGTACACACACACACATATACACGTAAAAGTAATAAAAATAAAATCTTAAAAAAAAAAGCGAGGGGCTGGAGAGTTGGCTCAGAGGTTAAGAGCACTTTCTGTTCAGATAGAGGATGTGGGTTCATGTTTCACAGCCATCTGTAAGTCCAGTTCCACATTTGGTATACATAACCCTAACCCTAACCCCACCCCCTTCCCCAGACAAGGTTTCTTTATGTAGCCCTGGCTGTCCTGGAGCTCTCTTTGTAGACAGGCTGGCCTTGAACTCAGAGATCCACCTGCCTCTGTTTCCTGAGTTCTGGGATTAAAGGCTTACGCCATCACTGCCTGTCCATTCTAGAACTTTTTTTAAAAAAAATTTTTTTAGATTTATTTATTATGGATGCGACGTCTGTCTGTATGCCTGCAGGCTGGAAGAGGGTGCCCGATCTTATTACAAATGGTTGTGAATTACCATGTGGTTGCTGGGAATTGAACTCAGGTCCTCTGGAAGAACAGCCAGTGCTTTAGCCTTTGATTCATCTCTCCAGCCCCCATTCTAGAACTTTTTAAAGAACAAACATGAAATAACTATTTTTTTTTGTATAACTGGTAATAATACTATGTATACATTTACACTTTTTTTTATTACCTTTGCTTTTTAACTATTTTGTTTTTAAGAAAAAGCATGAAAGCTTGGCATGTCAATGTATGCCTTTAATCCCATCACTGGGAATCAAGGCAGGTGGATCTCTTGTGAGTTCAAGGCCATAGTGAGTTCCAGGACAGCCAGATGTACTTAGTGAGACCCTGTCTCAAAAAAACCAAGGGGGAGGGGGGAGGAGGAGAAAAGCCTTGAGCCAAGCCTGATAGCATGCCACTGTAATGCCAGAATGTAGGAGGCGCAGGAAAGAGGGCCAACAGCTCAAGGTTGTCCTCAGCTGCTTAGTGAGGTATTAGGTCTAAGGTTACAGAAGACCCCATAGTTCCCACCCACCCCCCAAAAAGACCACCTCAAGACTAGCCTGGGCTTTATAATGAGACCCATCTCAAAAACATTTAAAATAAAAAATTAAAAACATGTAAGTGTTGGGGTTCTTTTGGGGGGAGGTAGATTTATGTGTGTGCTCATGTAGAGGCCAGAGGTCAGCCTTGGGTGTTCCTCAGTTTTTGAGACAAGGTCTCTCAGTGTAACTGAACTCTGAGCTCGCTATGTAAACCCACTGGCTTTGAATTTGTAGAGCTCTTCCTGTCTCTGCCTCCTGAGTTTTGGGAGTAAAACTGTGCACCTCCACACAGCCAGTTCTAGTTGTCTATCTTTAGGTTACAGCTCAGCCACTGTTCAGGCTCTCACATGTTATTGGTGAGGGTGTGTATCTGGACCACTATCACTAGTAGATCAGCTGGCCACAGTGGCACACACCCACAGTCCCAAAGCTCAAGCAGGATAGCAAGTTTGATGTCCACATCGGCTACAGTAAGTTGTCTTGAGAGAAGCCTGTCAAGAACTATATGCTCAAGCAGTTCTATTTCTAGTCATTTGTCCTTCAGATGTGTCTTCACAAGTGAGAAATGATTCCTGTGTTATTGAGTATTCAATGCAATGTAGCAATGATTATAAATAGAAAACAAGCAACCTGCACAAACCCTGAAAACTATCACCAGGAACTGGTTCCCCTCATTACATCTGATTCATATGGTGGAATCCTGTGTAGCCATAGGAAGAACAAGATGTTTAGGTGGGCTCATAAATACTGGCATAGAGTGAGGACCCCAGGCTTCCACTCTTATGATACTCTTGTTTTAGCAGAGAAGATCTGTAGAGGAGTTTACTAGAAACCTCAGAATGTCTCGTTGGAAGGAACCATCAGTGCAGAGTAGCTTACTTTCCAACGTATTTCTGAATTGTTCAGGCTTTTCTTTAAACAAAACAAATGCTTGCAGGGTTAGGGCCGTAGATCAGTCAGTGAAGTGCTTGCCTGAGTTTAATCCTCAGAACCTGTGTAAGAATGCCAGGTGTGATAGAGTTGAAGAGGCAGACACGCAGGCAGACCAGCGGAGTCTACTTGGCAATTTCCGGGCCAGAGAACTTGTTCTCAGAAACCATGGAACCGGAGGAACGATGCCTGAGGCTAATCTCTGGCCTCCACATGTTTGTGCACTGTTTCCAAAACAACACACACACACAAAACCATAGTTTTGTCTTTCTAGTAATTGATAAACTGATTCAGGGGCTGGAGTTGAGGCTCAGGGCTAGAAAGGAGGATGGGAGGCAGCTGAGATACACAGATACAAAGCAGAGCAAGGGATGGATGGATGGATGAAGGCCATGACATCTCTGTGTAAGGTGAGAGAACCCAGAAGCGCTGGGTCCCACCCTGGCTAGAACTGGACCTGTGTGTGTTTTCGGGTGAGAACACAGGCTTGCAAATATGTAACCGGAATAGGGTAAACAATTTTGAGCTTAGGTGTGACCTAGAATATCTGAGATGCATGGCCATCAACCTGTCAGCCAACCTTTGTATTCTTGGAAAGGGTTGGTAGAGCAATGATTTGTGGGAATTCACCTGGTCTACTGAAAGGGAAGGCTTGATTTGTCTGTTTGCAGAGGACATTCTCATTGAGGACTACTGTGTCTGTGTGGTAGCATGCTTCCTGAAAGGAATGGGTGTCTAAAGCAGGGCCTGTTGGGAGACCACTGTTTCTACACCATTGAGCCAGTAAGTTCAGAGAGCTAATGATGCTGGTAACCGGAGGAGCAGCCTGTGAAATACCAAGGTTCTGGCTGAAGCCACTTGGGCACATTGGATACCTGCTGTGTCCAAGGCACCACACTGAGTTCTGAAGGCAAGGAAAATGGCTTCACACTTTCCCCCAACCAGCAAAACTCTGCCTGGCAACCAATAGGGTCTTGGTTCTTACTCTGCTTCCTAGCTTGGCACCTCCCCTCAAAACACCATAATAAAACATCCCCAAAGCTGTCCTGGAGTTGTGATGTGGACACAGGTGTGAGTACTTTAGGCATATTGAGCCAGGTGGGTGTCTTAGCTGACCTGTGACAAGGAGAATGCCCACTTAACAAGATACTCAGCTTCTCTCTCCCCCGCCCTCTGTGAAAGGGGCTTCCTTGTCTGTTCTCTTCAGATGTCTTTAGCCAAAAGAAATCAGGAACACAGCTATCTATCCATTGTCTCCTAGAGTACACAGCCCTCCCATAGAGTGTGGGCTCTGCCCTATTTGCTAGGATAGCATCCCTTGGCCCATCTTCAGTGTGTGGGTGGGACAGGAGGGATGCAGAGCTGTCACCGCAGCCTGCAGGAATGACTCTTAGGTCAGAAGGACTCCCCAAGGAATGCTATTTCCATACAGGTGATGAGAGATTTTATGATAATGAGGAAAGCCTATCCAAAGATGTTTCTGCATAGGAAAACTCACCCACCATCGTCAGCACACCGGCTCTGCCCACCCACCCCTTCGTTGCCGTCAAAACAGCAGGAACAAGTGCCTCCCACTCCTGACTCCTCAAGGAAACTTCAGGTCTCCTTCTATGTCTCTTCAGCTTAACCTGACTTTCTCTCTAACCACGTTTTAAAGAGACCTTGTGGCTGATGCTTCCAGAACACGGGGTTTGGGGAAATGAGGTTCCTCAGAGGTATGACCCTCCTCCCTGGGGAGCTGCAGTCAAGAGCTGTCTTCCTGGGGCATTCTATAGGTTACCATCAGACTACCCTTTCCATAGGTTGTCTATTGAAAGGCACTCTGGAAGCATGGCAGGAGCAAGCTGCTATCAGCCTGCCAAATCTTGATCTGATCTCCTCCACATAGTAGCCTGTGATCAATATCAATGATCAGTATCAGGTTTCTCTAAATCATGGACCTTCTGTGATTCCTTGTTGTCTACTTACTGTACTCTAGCTAGATCCTCCATTTAAGAGAAGGAATGCTTGTTCTAAAAGCAGCCGAAGTGTGGCCAAGAACTGGTGGTCTCAGGGACTTCCAATGTCTGCTGCTTCAATTGGGATCCTACCAGGCCTTAGTTACCTACCATGTCATGGACTCATCACCACATGTAAAGTATCTGTATAACTAGACTTTTTTTGAAACAGAGTCTCATGTAGCCTAGGTTGACCTCAAATTCTCTATGAATGAGAGGGTGACCTTGAATTTTAGATCTTCCTGCCTCCCCAAGTGCTGGGATTATAGCACATGCCACCATATCCAGTATTTGTGGTACTGGGGATGGAATCCAGGCCTTCATGGGTGCATAGCAAGTCCTCTATCAACTTAGTTTCTTTCCCTGCCCTTACAACATTCTTTATAAATATCATGTTACAAGGACCCCCTCCCAATGTGTGCAACTCCCTATCCTACCCCAGGTCCTGCTGGTTCATGCCAGAACTAGAGTTTGAACCCAGACCTTCCCATTGTACAACCTCAGGAGCAGGAGCAGTGCCTGAATGCATTGGCAGGGAGCCAGGATCCATCAGGTCTGGGGACCTCCCTAAGGGAGTGGGAAGATAGGAGTAGTCCTGGGGCCCTGTTCCTCGACAGCCACCTGTTCCCACCCCCTGCACACAATGTCTGACTCTGCCTGCACTCTGGGGTTGGGAGGAGGGCTTTTTCCATCTTTTGTGTCTTGAGCAGTTTTTTCCCTGCTCTGCTCTTCTTTGCGCTCTCTTCTTGTTCCTTTTTGTAGATAATACTCCCACGGGCCTCCCACGGCAGCTCCAAAATGCAGCCTCCTGAGTTTCTTCTTGTTGACAAAGGTTTTGAGCTGTCTCTGAGTAGGGCTCCCCCTCAGCCTAGCCCTTCCCCATACCTTCCAAGCAGGGCCCAGCATGAGTCCAGGGTTGGGGAGAGGAGGATGGGAAAACAGTGCTGTGACCTGATGCTCTCTCCCATTTTCTATACCATAATCTCCTCCTCCCTGGCTCCTAACCACAGGTCCCTGTACCTTCAGTGTAAGTGTGTCTCAGGGATGGTGGAAAGAGGGTTGGGGAATTAATCACTAAGTGCCAAGGAAACCTATATAAACAAACAAATGCTAGACCCGAGCAGATATGAGAGGCTGGATAGGTGGAAAGAAGTCCTGTCCGACCGATTGAATGCATCCTTTAAACAGAAACTGCAGGGAAGAACCCATCCACCCCTTACATGTAGATATGTTGAGGGGTGGTGTATTGAAGGAATGCAAGGCACATCAGACTGCAGTTTCGTTCTGGGATAAGAGTGGTCAACAGGGTGGTGGTGGTGCACACCTTTAATCCTGGCACTCAGGAGGCAGATCTCTGTGAGTTCAAGGCCAGCCTGGTCTGCAGAGTGAGTTCTGGGACAGCCATGGCTGTCTCCAAAGACAAACAAAAACTGTCTCAAAAACCAACCAAAAGAGTGGTCAGCCCGGTGGTGGTGCACGCCTTTAGTCCTAGCACTTGGGAGGCAGAGGCAGGGGGGTCTATGTGAGTTCGAGACCAGCCTGTTCTACAAGTGCGAGTTCCAGGACAGCCTCCAAAGCTACACAGAGAAACCCTGACTTGAAAAAACAAACAAAACAACCAAACAACAAAAAACAGTGGTTATAACATCCAGTACATATCTCCTGGAAATGGGACCAGGCATGGGTTTAATGCAGGCAGTGCACCTTAGACCAGGTGGGTAACCTCATTGCTTTAGTGTTTCCATCTGTACACTGGCAGCTGCAATTAGGAACTGCTTCTGTGTCTCAGGATTAGTAAGGGAATCCAGGTGATGTATTTAGCGAAGTGCTTGCCTCGGTAAATGCAACCCTCTGTAGTTCCCATACCGTCTAACTGGCTCATTCTAATCCAACGTTTTGGCTTCACCAGCCGCCCCAAGCCAACCCAGTCAGGTCAGCAAGCTGGAAGTCTGAGAGTGAGCACCTTTTGACCTCACAGGAATGACCCGGACCAGTTGGATCTGAGGACCCTGGAGCTGATGTGCACACAGCCTCAGCTATTCTGGAGACAGGATCCGGACCTGGGGTGGGGGAGAGACTGACAGGGACAGAACCCTGGCCTTGTCTCCCTTCTTCCTTCCTTCTCTCCTTCCCTCCCTTCCTCTCCCTTCTCCCTTTGTGAAATGACTACCCTGGCTGTTCTCAGGGTTCCTCTGAGACCCCAAATCAGACAATAAATATTTGCATGAAGCATCGTCACACACTGTCCTTAGGTCTTTTATACATGTCCCCTTATTTCTTCCACAGAGCCCCCAGAGGTAGTTATTGTCATTCCCATTTCACAGATAAGAGAACTGAATCACAGAAATGTTAGTGAAACTGCCTTAAAAAAAAAAAATCTCTGGGCAGCAAGCGGCAGAGAGTACTTAAAGCTGGCGAGTCTATTTCCCCAGATTTTGGGGTGAGGGGTGCTTTCAATGACAGCCTCACCGTGGATTAAAGTGACTTAAAAAATGTCCCCCTGCTTAGCGGGATTCTTTAGCACTGGGCCCATCAGGAATGGGGGACATGATCTGCGGACTTTGTTAGGCTCGCCCCCGCTCCTGGGAGCCGGATTACAGGGTGCAGCGGACTGGGGGAGGGGACCCTTTCCTCCCTTTCTTCCCAAAGCTCCTGCTCGTTTAAATACAGCTGCCTTGAGCTTAGCCTTTGCTAGTGGCTGACGGGTCGTCGTTGGAGCAGGGTACACTCCTCTTTCCGACGCTGGTGGCAGTGGGTGTGTCTCCTCCAGGGGCGCATTGCTGAGCTCCGGTTTCACCCATTGGAGAGCAAATTGCAGTTTGGGCCCCGGAGGCTCCTCTGGGCGCGGGCGGCAGCCGCGCCCCCCGGCAAACCGTAGGAGGGAGGAGGAGCGGCGCTGGCAGGAGAGGCCGGGGGGGCGGTCGCGGCGCGCGGGGACAGGAGACGGC